TACCTTGCGAAAGAAGGTGAGTTCAGTAGTTCAGGATAACTCATAAGGAGGTAATCCAAGCCTAGTTACCAAGTGTTTGAAGGTTCAGGAGGGAAGGTTAATTAATGTAATGTTTCATCTTTCCTTCCAGTTCTGTCTAATTCTTCTTTCGTCTTTCCTTCCTCAATTCAAGATTCAAATCAGGGAGAGTCATTAGCTACTTAACCTATTTACCTTGTGAAAGAATAAATACGAAAAGAAAAGGAGCTTGACCTCGTTAAAGAATCAAAAGGGAGAGTACATTAGCGGCTTTCCTTTCCCTTGTTTACAGTAAAAGAATAACTCTCACAATCACTTCCTTAACGAAACGAACAATAACGGAACAAGGAGTTCCATCTGGTGAAGGTATAGTTCAGAGAGAGTCACAATTCAATCCTCAACTTACCTGCTTGACCTCGGTAAAGAAGAAATAAGTTCAGGGCAGTAGTAAAAAGGAAGGAGTCAGGAGTCTTTCTTACAGGCAGGAGAGGAGTGAAAGAAGGTTCAGGGTTTCGGGTTCTTCTTCTTCTCATTTACCTTGTGTTTTAAGGAAAAGGTGAAGGGAGACTAAAAGAGTGAAATCTGCTGAAGGAGAAAGAACCAAACAAACACTTATTACCTTGTGTTTGAGTGAAAGAAATGGTTTAAGGTGAAATCTGAGTTTACAGTTAAAGAAGAAATAGGTTTCGCCTCTCATTCTTCTTTCGTCTTAGTTTACCGTTCAACAAGAAGGAAAAAGATAGATAATGAATCTTGTCTTGCTTTCGTTGAGTCTTAGTTTACTGTTTCTTGAATCAAAGAGCTACTACCTATTTACTTACCTTGTTCAATCTGGTAAATGAGAGAAGAGAAGGATTGAATATGCTTCACCTTGTTCAATCAGGTTAGGGAATAAATAGAGGAAAAGGGTTTCGCTTTAGTAAGTAGTGAAAGGAGCTACCTTGTTTACAGTCTTTGAAGGTAAAGGAGAAAGAAAGAACCAAAGAAACACCAACCTCTATAAGTTCACAGTAAGGATACCGGAAGATGCTTTAACCTATTTACCTCGGTTACTGTTCAATCAGGGAATAAAAAAAAACTAGCTCGACAAGGGAAGGGAATAGTGAAACCCAAGTTCCATTAGGGAGCGAAGGAAGCTGTGAGACCCATATATATAGGCGAATGAGCGAAGCAGCTTTACCTCGTTTAAATAGAATAGTCCAGGGTTTCGGTTTCGTCTTGACTTCCTATTCACAATCACTTCCTGAGAATAAGGAACAATAACTGATGGTAATGTAATAGAGTCAAAGAAAAAGAGAAAGAATCCATAGGTTCCTCGCCCGGAGTTGACCTTCTCTTAGAGTTCTATCCATCTCACACTCAGTCTTGTTTCGTCTTAGTTTACAGTTCCAGAAGAAATAGGTTTAAGAGGGTGAATGAGTTTACCGAGTCTTTTAAAGACTAAATAGGGACAAGTTCAGGAGTTCTATCTCATGTTCATCTGGAGTTTAGTCTTTCCTTTCGAATTACCTCAATTCAGTCTCATTATTCAATCAGTCTTGTTTCTTCTTCTTTGACAGGGAAGAGTCAATTCATTAGCTGCTTTACTGTCGAGTAAAAGAGTGAAATCTGGTTCTAGAGCTTTACCTTGTTTACTGTTCAAGAATAACTTACAAGAATCATCCTCCAGTTTACCTTGTGAAAGAGTGAAATCAGGTTCATTAGTTTACAGTGAAAGAATAAAGTCAAGGGAGAATCAGAAAGAATATGCTTTCCCTTGTTAAATCAGGTCATGGAATAGTGTCAAAGGTTACGGTTCCGGAGTTCAGTCTCATTCATCTCCCTTCTTTCCTATCTTGTAAAGGGTTCGAAGCTTCTCATCCAGCCAACCTATTTACTGAGTGTTTAAAGGAAAAGGTTGAAGGGAGAGTCTCAGCCATCTTTCGGCCCCATTCTTGCATTCTCTGATTCTGATTCCGGTTCAGTAGCAGTTAAGTTTGATTCATTAAAAACACTATGAATTTACTCGACTGTAAAGAAAGAATGGTTCTGAAAATAGCTTTACCTTCAAGAGTGAAGGAAGGGAAAGAACAAGAACATCAGGTAATAGAGAAAGGTTGAGGGAGAGTCCATGAATTAGATTAGCTGCTTTACCGCCGAGTGAATGAAATAATAGTGACTGAGCTCACAGTTCGGAAACTCTTTCATTCAATCCTTTACAATGAAAGAAGGTCAGGGAATAGCCGTGAGTGAAGGGGAGGGAAGGAGCGAAGGCATAAGACAGATAGGGAGATGGACGAAGCAAGCAGCGAGACGAGAAGAGGAGTGAAATCAGGGACAAGTTATTGAGTTCAGGATAATAAATGAATAAGGAAGGAGTATTTCTCTTTGACTTTGACCTTGGAAAGGTTCAGGAAAGAATAGAGAAAGACAAGTAGTTCAACCCTTGGTTACAAGAAAGGAAATGAATTAGCTACTGAATTCACCCATTTACCCCGCCAGGGAAAGAATAAAGAGACAAATACATTATGACTCACTCTCTTACAGTTCAGGGAGAGAGAGTAAACTCATTAGCTGCTTTACTGTGAATAAATAGGGTCTAGAGAGAAGCCAGCTCCTTTACCGAGTTCAAGAAGAATAGTCCAGGTGTAGGAGTGAACAGACCTACAAAAAGAAGGTAAATAGGGTCAGGAGAGAGAGAAGCCAACTGCTTTCCCGAGTGAAAGAAGAATAATTAGTCCGGGTTTAAGGTTGAGTCTCATTAGCTGCTTGACCAAAGAGTATAAATGAAATCAGGGAAAGAACAGAGAAAGACAAGTAGTCCCTTGGTTACAGTGAAAGAAGGAATAAATAGGTTAAGAAGTTCACTCTCATTCATAAGGAGTGTTTACAGTCGAGTCAATGAATTAGCAGCTTGACCTTGTTTATAGGCAGGAGAGGAAAAAAGTGAATTCCATTCCATCGAGGACAAGTGATTGAGTTTACCGATTGAAAGAAAAGAGACCAAGGTTACAGTTAAAGAATCTATAGGGGAAAGAAGGGAGAGGCGAACAATCACTGAACTCATAAGGGGCGAAGCCACGAGACCGAGTTCCATCAGGTTCAGATTCATGAGTAAGTAGGGAAGGGAAAGGAGAATGATTAGTTAAAGAATTCATCTTTCTTACAGTATAGGAAAAGAGTGAAAGATGAATCCTTAGAGAGTGGCACGACCAAACATCATCCCAGAAGCAAATTAGCTTACCATTTGGTTACTGGTCGTGTTTGAAGGGAAAGAACAAGAACAGAATTCAGGTAATATATAGAGGTTCAAGGGCAGGGTCATGAGCTTCTCTTTCCTTTTCAAAGTCTGAGTTTAGAATAAATAGGAAAAGCAAGAACAGTTGACCCCCATCTATCTGAATGATCGGTCTCACCTTGGGAGGAAGAACAGAACAGGTAATAGATAGACATCAAACCATCCATTCGGGTTCTTTCTATATTTGTTCGAATAAAATGCTTAGCTAATTCCATATGTCTAGCCCCAAAATCCTTTCTTCTTTCAACTTGTGGATCTTCCCATTAATTACCTGCAGGTCCCTCTTCGCCTAATTCTTTCCATTCTACCAACCAATAATCTATTATAAGTCGCAAATATGGATCGACTAATTGTTCTCGTATAGCACCTGCTCTGGTAGAAATTTCTCAATTTCGAAATGTATCGAAGCAAGCCTTGGGTAGTCACAAAAAGTGGGATGCTGTATTTCCCGGATTGAATTTTATATTGGAATGAACCCCGTAATCATACGAAAGTAGGGTTTTTAGCTATGGGCCTAGCAAAAGACAAATATAAGATACTATAGGATCTCCCCCTTTCCAAATCGAACGTGAAATTTTTTTTTCATCCAACTCAACTCAAGTAGTTACATCAAATAAAGGAGTTCTCACTTTCCAATAGCTTCTATAAAACCTCCAACTACTCTTTACTCAAGTTCTCAATTAAGACCAAACAACATTTCATGGATTCTTTGACTTTTTGATTTAAATGTTTTGACTAAGTTCTTTATATCAATTACAACGGAAACAAAAGCAATGTGCAATTTCTGAGTAGTCTATTTCCCTTGGAATGCCAATCCCCCTAATTCAAATTAATAAGGAGTCCCTTGGAATAAGGGATTGATTTACTTGTCTTTGTATCGTTCCATTCGATCTTTTAGTTAGAGCCCTACTTCATTCACCTCGATGGTTATGCCACGATGTCCTTAAAGCCTATATGCGATGGATAGACTCCTTTCACCATGAATTGCTTATTGTAACATAATTTATGAAAGAAAAAGAAATTGTTAATTACACTAAAAGAAATTCGTTTTCTTTCACGAGGTAGAACTGATAATTCCTATTTATTACTGAATCGACCATAGACTAATTCCACTTTGATTTGGGATGGGAGTATTGACTACACCGACAATTTTAAGCTTCATGGTACTCCTACCAAGCAAGCCACATGTCAGATACGGGGATCCCAATGAGATTGAATGAATGGGATGACTGTTTCTCATTGGGGATCCGTAAAATCAACATCAAATCACACATCACAATATACTAAGCCTTCTAATTCGTTAAGAGGTTTATCTAAAGCTAAAGGATTCTCGATATAACTAGGAAGACGCTTCAAATACCACACATGGGTTACTGGGCATGCCAGCCAGTTTAATAAAGTCCATTTCTTCGTATCCGAGAATCAACCAACAAATTAGACTACGAATGTTCACCGCAAATCTTCTTTCTCCGATTACTCGAGAATTTCCACAAGCACAAATCCCCCTTTTTATAGGCCCGAAAAGTCTTTCACAAAATAATCCATTTCAGGTTTATTCGTTTTATAATGAAAAGAAGAATAGGGTTTTGTTACCTCTCCAACTTTCTCGCCATTAGCTAGGGTTTTATTGGCCCAAGCACTGAACTTATTTGTTGAGGAAAAACTAATCCAATTCATTCGGAGGTTTATACCTATCGATCATAGAACAAATTGTCTGATTCATTTTGATTAAGTTTCCTTCCTCTTAATCTAGAAGTTATTCTCAGATACAAGGAAATTATTCCGTTCCAAAGCCAAAGATCGTAATTCTCGAACGAGCAATTGAAAAGATTCTGGAGTATCCTTAGGTTTAGGTATTCTTCCTCCAATGATCGTAGTACCAAGTACTTCTTGCCGAGCTCTAATATGATCAGATTGATAAATAAGCATCTCTTGTCAAATAAAATCAACACCAAATCCTTCTAGAGCCCAAACCTCCACTTCTCCCACCTGTTGTCTGCCTTGCTTGGCTCGTCCTATAAGGGGTTGTTGTGTAACAAGTGCATAATGTCCATAGGAACGAACGTCTGTGTATTATCATCAACTTGATTCATTCATTTCAAGATATAAGGCTTTCCTATTATAATAGGTTGTTCAAAAGGATTTCCCGTTCTTCCATCAATCTGCTTTATCCCGGATACTAGGGTTTAAATACCCATGGACTCATTGTTTGCTTACTGGCTTCATAGAATGAGGAAAGAAAAGACTAGTTGTTTTCTAGAAGCCTCTTGTTCATATCTCTCATCAAACAAAAGGTACTATGAGATAATGTCTATCTAGCAAACTCCCCGCTAACCACCCGACCGAGTGAGCACTCAAACAAATATCTGTCCTACATTCATTCGTGAGGGGACTCCAAATAAGGCATATCTTCTCTAGGCACCATTTGTGAAAGAATACCTTGATTTCCATGTCTTCTCGCTACCTTATCGCCTACTTGAATTTCCTTCCCGTTTCTGTGAAATAGATCCACGAATCATTTCTGGATTCTCACTCGAACCCCCTTCCCTAATTTTTGGATCCATCTCACATCAATAACTCAACCCCTACCCCGCCTATAGGTATAGGTAGTTTGAGATAGGTTTCTTTTGGAGTAGATACCAGAATGCCAAGTATGGCTCATAATAATCTATCTTCAGGGGCATACGCTCATTCTTTCGCCATTTAAGGCGTTAATTTACCTACTCGCCCGTCTCCACCTACGATCCCAGCATCACAATTCCTTCCATCCATTTTTGTCTCAATTCCGGAGTAAGCGGGCTTCTTTTTAGATGTGGGATTTCGTTAGTGATTCTTTTAGGTCCCTAGCTTGTCACATGAGTTTGAATTTCATATTTCCGTATCCATGTATGTGGAAAGAAGTATAAATATCTTCATATACCAGACGCTCGCTAATTAGTACTGCATCTTCAGAATTGAAACCTTCTCATGTCATATAAGCTACTAATACGGTTTTTACCAACGCAAGTTCGCCACTAAAGCAGCACCGTCCGCTAACATTTGCCCTTTTTTAATGCATTTACCCTGGGGAACCTGGGATTTTTGCTGCATACAACTATTTTTGTTAGAACGTTGATACAAAACTAATGGAATTCCTCGAGTATACCCATTACCCGAAAAAAGGATCTTGTCCGGTATAAATGATCTTTCCCCCATGTTCGGCTATAGCGGCAACCCTTGAATCTCGAGCCACGTGGCGTTCCAACCGAGTTCAAGGGAGAAAGAGAAGTTCAAGAAGGGTCTGGGTCAGGAGTCAGTTGCGAGAGGAGAAAGATCCATTTAAGAAGAAATAGGTTCATTCATCCTTCTTACAGGCAGGTAGGAGAGGAATGATGAAAACCAGACGAAGAGGAAAAGAAGAATGCAGAGGAAAGGGGCCAAGCTGTGAGACCGACCTCGTTTACAATAAGCTCAGAGTCGTGTAAGGGGAAGGAGAATTCAATCAAATAGTTTGACCTTGTTAAGAGTTCCAGTTCAGGTGATTGAGCTGCAAGGAAAGGAATTGACTCTCCCTTCTTTCATTCTCTATCGGTTAAGGTTTAGGAGTAAAGGTTTGGGATTGAATATTCATTGATTCTAGAATGAACTGTAAAGGATGGGTTCGTTCAATCAGGTTTGTTCAGTAGTTCAGTCTAATTCTTCTTTCGTCTTCACTCTCATTCATGTTCAGTCTTTCAATTCTCTTATCTTTTCTTTACTCAGTAGCCAGCTAATTAATTGACTCACCTGGCAAGGAAAAGGAGAATGAATCGAGAGTCTTTCCTTTCTTTCTTCATTCAATCAATTCTCTTGGAAGCAGCTAATCTAATTCATTTCTTCTTCTTCTTTTCACTATAAACACATAGGAATAAGGTTGAGTCTTGAAAAGCAGCTAATTAATTTACTCGACTGTAAACAAGGGGTTCACTATTTGACGGTCTCTTCTCTCTCCCTGATTTCTTTCACTGTACAAAAAAGAATAAATAGAGGTTCAGTCTCATTCCTCTCTTTCCTTCCTAATTACCCAATCTGGTTCTAGTTCAGTCGCTTCTCTTTCTCTTTATTTACAGTTACAGTTAAAGAAGAATAAATAGGGATTAAAGGTTCAGCTAGCTGAATGAGTAAGTAGCGAAAGGATCAAGATTAGTTCAATCAAAGAGCTACTGAATGAACACCTATTTACCTTATCATGAAAGAATAACCGAACAAAAATGGAACAAGGAGTTAAGAAGAACGAAGAGTAAAGTGGCGAAGCCGAGGTGAAAGATTTCTTATTCTTTTCTTTCCTGTAAAGGTGAAGGAGAAAGAAGAAATAGGAGTAGCTCGACAGTAAAGGTTTCGGGAAGGGAGGTTCAAGCAGAAGAAGAAAATGAAGGTGAATGAGCTGATCTTTCTTTCATTTGTTTCGTCTCATTCATCTTGACTTCCTTAATGCAGTAACTTCACACTGCTTACTTAGTATAGTTATATTCCCATCATTCATCTTTCTTCGTCTTTCCTTCCAGTTCACTCTCATTAAGCTTGATTTCCTCTTTCCTTCCTGTAATTCATCTTGTCTTGTTTTCTCTTCGTTTACTTTGAATAAATAGGTGCAGGTCAGGTAATTGAGTATAAGGTTCTGGTTCCGAAGGAATATTTGATTATGATTCTTGCATTCTCTTTCTTTCTCGTCAGGTTCAGGTTCAGGTTCTTCAAACACCTACTTATTGTATTTACCGAGTTCTATCAAAGAGATAGTTCAACCCTTGCTGGAGAGGTTCCTTCTTTCATGAATTTACTCTCCTGTCAAGTAAGATCATATCGGTTTCTTCTTTCTCCTTCCCTTCTTTCATTCTCTAAACAAGATAAAGAAAGTGTCTTCCTTCTTTCTTCTTTCTTTCACTGTTAAGTTTCATTCTTCTTATCTGAGTCTGATTCTTCAATCAATTCATTCTTGAACTATAAACCCCTTTAATCAGGTCAGAGAATAGAGTCAAAGGTTTAAGGTTGAGGAGAATTCATCTTTCTTCAAGAAGGACAGGACGGAAGATGCTTTAACCTATTTACCACCTTGTTCAAGAGTGAAATCAGGGAGAGAGAGTTAATTCATTAGCAGCTTTACTTTACCTTGTTCAATCTGGGAGTGAAGGAGGAAAGAATCCATAGGTTCCATCAGGTGAATGAGCTTGACCTTGTTCTCATCCAGCGGCTAGACTTACCCCTTGCTTGTTCAAGAGTGACATCTGGTTCCTTTAGTAGTTTTGTCTTATTAAGAAATCTTGAGTATTGATCTTTTACAGTAAAGGGAGAATGAGTAAATTCATTAGTATAGTTCAGGCAGGGAGAGGCAATGAATTTCATATGCTTTCCCTTGTGTTTGAGTTCAATGAAAGAATAAATAGGAAAAAGAGTGAATGAGAATGAATCTTGTCTTGCTTTCGGCTTTCTCTTTGTCTTTTCTTTCTATAAAGGTTACTACGGTCAGGTCATAGAGTCAAAGGTTCAGTAGCTCAGGTTCCGGTTCAGGAAAGAAGCTGTTTTACCTCATTCAATCAGTCAAAGGGTTAAAAAAAGAAGAGATGAAAGACAGATCGACCATATGTCCTGTTCTAATCTTTCTTCTTCTTTTACAGTTTAGGGAGAGAGAGTCAATGAATTAGCAGCTTTACCTCAATAAATAAGGAAAGGGAAAGAACAGAAGAGACCGAGTTCAATCAACCACCTATTCTATTTACTGAGTGGTTGAAGGTGAAGGAGTGAAATCAATCAAAGGTTCCGGAGTTCAGTTCGTAAACTCTTGCTTGAGTCTTTCTTCGATTACAGTGAAAGAAGGGAAAGAAAATAGAATAGACCATAAGTAAAGGCCAGGACAGAAGGGAAGATGCTTTAACCTTACCGAGTTTACTGTGAAAGAAGAGAGAGGCTTAGGAGAAAGAACCAACCAAGCAGTGAGGCGAGAACGAAGGAAGAGGATTTCACTGTAACCGAAGTAAAGGGTTAGGAGTTAAGTCGAATGAATCTTGTCCGAGTCTTCTTCTCCCCTACCTGAATTTATTCAAATATGGTAAACTCGGCTATTAAAAGGTTCCGAATTGAATGAATAAGGGAAATAGGTTCAGGGAAGGTCATAAAGATTCAGTCTCATTAATCTTTCATTGTTCAATCACAATCAGGTAATAGGGAATAGAGTATAAGGTTCTGGTTCAGGGGAAGGTTCCGTCATTCATTTACTCTTCTGTTTTGAATTATACATAATAGCTTTAGAGTGAAAAGTTCACAATCATTTCCTGTTCAATCTCATTCCTTTGATAAAGATAAAGGAGAGAGAGGGAAAGGATTTAATCTAAATTGACACTCTCCTGTCAAGGTTAAGGTTGTTAAAGATCACGTATTTGTTTAGATTGCTATCAGTTAGTATCTAATTAAATCTCCGTTAGGAGTTAGATTTAGTTTTTATTTGATTAGATTTTGTTTTGATTTAATTTGTTTACTTGTTTGTTACCAGATTTCCTGATTTCTAGGTAGATTTTCTAGATATCTCTTCCTATTCTCTGTATATATATAGAGCATTCTTGCTCTTCAAAATTTATCAATCTTCTCATCAACCATTCAATAAATCTCTCTTTCACTAACAATTGGTATCAAAGCTATCTTCTTAAGGGATCTGTGAGATCAAGATGGAAGGAGAATCTAGTTTTTTCACTGTTGCACCATCAATCTTCGATGGAGACAATTATCAAACGTGGGCAGTTCGTATGGAGACTTATTTGGAGGTCTTGGATCTTTGGAAAGAAATAGAAGAGGATTAAGAGGTCCCTCCTCTTCTAGAAAATCCTACTGTAGCACAAATCAAATTACAGAAGAAAAAGAAGACAAGGAAATCAAAGACGAAAGCTTGCCTATTTGCCGCTGTATCTCAAATGATCTTCATGCGAATAATGTCCCTCAAAACAGCAAAGGAAATCTGGGATTATCTCAAAGCCGAATATGAAGGAGATGAGAGGATTCGGGGAATGAAAGCCCTGAATTTGATTAGGGATTTCGAGTTGCAGAAGATGAAGGAGTCTGAATCGGTGAAAGAGTACTCTGACAGACTTCTCAGCATTGCCAACAAGGTGAGATTGTTTGGTTCTGTATTAAATGATTCCAGGATTGTTGGAAAGCTGTTAGTTACTATTCCAGAGAAGTTTAAAGCCACCATTACTACTCTGGAGAACACCAAAGACTTGTCAAAGATTTCTCTTACAGAGCTCTTGAATGCTTTACATGCACAAGAGCAAAGGAGGTCTATGAGGCAAGAAGGGGCGATTGAAGGTGCCTTACATGCCAAGCATCAAAACAACAGTAGGTATAAAAACAAGAAAATTTTCAAAAACCAATCAACGAATGGAGATCCATCTGCTAATTTTCAAAAGACAAAAGGAGGAGATTTCAAAAAATCCTATCCACCTTGTCGCCATTGTGAGAAGAAAGGTCATCCACCATACAAAATTTATTCTGGATATTTTATTTGTGCCTAAAATTGATCAAAATCTGTTAAGCATTTTTCAGTTACTTGATAAAGGTTATATAGTGTTGTTTGAGAATAAGCAGTGCTTGATCAAAGATGCTAGTGACAAAGACTTGTTCAATGTCAAAATGGAAGGAAAAAGCTTTGCTCTAAATCCAACGGCCTTTATATCCAAAGCTAGTGCCACTGAGATTTGGCACAAAAGACTTAGACACTTTCATCATCGAGGTTTGCTTCCGATGCTATCAAAGAAGCTGGTAGAAGAACTCCTTGACATTGGTAAGGACATGCCTCCTTGCCATACTTGTAATTTTGGGAAGCAACATAGGCAACCCTTTCCTAAACAGGCATAGAGAGTCTCGAAAAAACTGCAGCTTGTTCATACTGAGCTTTGTGGTCCTCAGCAAACACCATCATTAAATGATAATCTTTATTACATTGCTTTTATTAATGATCTAACAAGAATGTGTTGGATATTCTTGCTGAAGCAAAAGTCAAAAGTTGCGAGTGTATTTTGGAAATTCAAAGCCAAAGTTGAGAATGAAGGTGCATGCTTGATTCAGACCATAAGATTAGATAATAGCAAGGAATACACTTCATAAACTTTTAATAGGTTTTGTGAAGAGGCTGGAATTGGAATTGAACATCAATTGATAACATCATACACTCAACAGAATGGCGTCAGTGAAAGGAGGAATAGATTTATAATGGAGATGACGAGATGCATGCTTCATGAGAAGGATCTTCCAAAATGTTTTTGGGGAAAAGTAGCAAACACTATTATGTGCTTGAAAAATCAAATTTCAACAAAAGCTGTGAAGGACCTGACACTAGTGGAAGTTTGGTATGGTTACAAACATTCTTTAAAGTTCCTTAGAGTATTTGGGTGTCTTTGCTTCACTTCACAGGTCAAGCGTGATAAGCTTGACAAAAAGTCAGAAGTTGGCATATTTATTGGCATGTTAGAAGAGTCTGAAGATGAACGACTAAAATTGTCTGAAGATCAACAACAAGATGCTTTGGTTGATGATGCACCTGTTAGAGGAGGAGCTTTTAGTGATCGAGAAAAACAAAATCTGGGAGTTGGTTGATCGACCTCTAAACAGAAAGATAATTGGAGCAAGATGGGTGTTCAGAAAAAAAAAACATGGAATTCACAGCATCTAAACAAGGAGGAGTGTTAAAAATCAAGTATTTGTTTAGATTGCTGTCAGTTAGTAGCTAGTTAGGAGTTAGATTTAGTTTTTATTTGATTTACTCTTGATTTGATTAGATTTTGTTTTGATTTAATTTGTTTATTGGTTTGTTACCAGATTTCCTGATTTCTAGATAGATTTTCTAGATATCTCTTTGTATTCTATATATATATATATATAGAGTAGTCTTGCTCTTCAAAAGCAGTTAATGAATTTCAATCTCATTCTTCTTTCGTCTTGAAAAGCAGCTAATGAATTTCTTCTTTCATTGTAAACAAGGATAGATCGTCGAAGGGTTTCGGTTCTGGTTCAGGTTCCTTCTTTCATTCATTTCCTCTCCTGTAAAGTGAAGGGAAGGGAAGGTCATAGAGGTTCTGGTCAGGGAATAAAGGTTTAGGGGCATCAGTGACCAGAAGGGGTTTCTTCCATCTGGTGGAGAAGTGGCTATTAAAATGAGAGGTCCAATGGAATGCGTGCGTAATCCTTTCGTTTGAAAGAATGCTGGGTTGTTTACGGCACAAGAACTTGGTTCAGCTTCAAGGATGGTGTTGTTCAAATACTGAGTGAGTCCTGGTTTCTTATTACTTACCCAATGGAAGCCTCAGTAATATTCTCCACAGAAACTCCAATTCGACGGGAGTCCTGTCATGGAAGCAAAGATTGAATATCATTTTGGGGGTTGCTTCCGCTCTGACTTATCTGAATGAAGAATATGAGAGGCAAATAATTCAAAGAAATGTTCAGACTTGCAATATATTGCTTGATGCAGAGCTCAATGTAAGCTTGAGGATTGGGGTCTGTTAGAAGTTTAGTCACACTGTTCGAATACAAGAGAAGCTATTATACCGGCAGGCAAGAACAATGGGATATCCTGCACCTGAGTATCTTTATTCGGGTATTCCCACTAAGAAGATAGATGTTTACAGCTTTGGTGTAGTAGTGGTAGAGGTGGAAACAGGTAGAAGGCCTCTTGATTATAATGGAATTGTGGTTGTTGACTGGGTCTGGTACCTGTGGAAAAGGGGAAACTAATTGAGGTGATTTGTGTTGATGGGGAAGTTTAAAGGGGTGGAAATGGAAAGGATACTGATGATTGGACTTTCTTGTGTGCACCCAGACAAAAAAGGTGAGCGCTGGTGAAGGAAGCTGCAAGGATGATTAAAGATAGAAGCACTGTTGCCTGTGAGTAAACCAAGAGTGGGCATTTGACCTCTTTTACCTGTGAATCTGAAGAAACAGTGAATCTCGGTGGAGATCGTCCCAGTCTTGATGATGCATTGTATATGACCCAACCCAATTTATCTAAGACTTGCTCAAGAAAGGCCACACACATTAACATTACTTCAAATGGTTTTCAGTATGGGGTCTTTGTTGCAGTTGGTATCAGACATGGTTGAAGCTTGTTAACCAAGAACAATCTTCCATTTTTTATATCGGTGGAATTACACCTTTCAACAAACCTCAATGAAGAAGTTGTGTTTTCTTTAATATAGTTTTTGATAACTATTCCTCTGTAATGCCCGAAAATGAAGAGGAGATTGCTCTTATCATTCATTCTCATTTTGACTATTATCCACTTATTTCTGCTTCTTTACTTGTTGTATCATTTTTACATAGTCTCCTTATTGTTAAGACTCTTTTTTATTGAATAGTGTGAAACTGTATTAACACTCACACCCCTAATAGTGCCTGAGCCCTTGGGGTGGAGTCGAACTAGCCTAGATATAGTCTTTCAGTTCCTTTCTGATGAACCTGACTACTCATAACGAAAAAGATCTCGATTTATTTACAGACAGATATCGTGTGTATTGATTGACCAGATGCGATCGATACCTGTTGACAATGACAGACAGAAGAGCGGGAAGTAGCATATCTTTCAAGAAAGAAAATGATGTTGTTACTTACAAGCAAGGTACTCGCCCCCCCTTGAATAAAAGAAGGGAAGCAGTATTGATTGTATTGATGGATTGAGGAGTCATGCTTTACCAATTTCCAATACAGTTAATCCTGTGTAATTTGAGCATAAAAAGCTGATCTTTCTTTAGCACCTCTTTAGTACCTAGTCATGCATGCTGGCTGACCGAAGAACCTGTACTTTAATCGATTAACCAAGCACGAGAGATATTCACTAAAAAGATAACTGGGATATTGAATGAATAAAAGGAAGGGTCGTAGATAGATGAGCCTTTGCGACCCTTTACAAGAGTGAAACCGAAAGAAAGAGACAATTCCAGATGCCCTCAGATAGATGCCACTAAACAAGTAAAAGAGAACGGACAGTTTTCGTGGATCGGGAAGACCAACTCTCATTCAAGGAATCGGACCGTTGACAATAGCAAGCTCGGAAGGACAGAGACTATTAAAAAAGGTGAAACTCACATGTTTTTAGAGGTTGACTCATCCGACCCCTGAAACTCGCAATTTAGGAAAGAAAACCATTTCGTACCTTTTTCTCATGTCGATACCAACTACAGATCAGATATGACCGGTTGAAGAAAGAAGAAAAGAGAAATGAACGATTAAGCGAGACTTTGCCTTAGAGACCCATGAAATCGAAGTTTGATTAGACAAAAGGTCTTTGAAGACCTCTTCAGCTTCCACGCTTATTATTGCTATCACCTCAACTTAGACCTGCTTACTTAGAATGAAGATAAATAATGAAAGGATTTACACAAGACCCTTACACAGGCCAGAGAGAGAGTCTTCGCTTACCTGCTTAACCGTGGCCTCCTATCGTATCTATATCCCCTTTCTTTCCTTCAGTTACATCAAGTCTCAGTTCCGCTTCCAACTACCGATGGGAGAAGGCTTGGACGTATAGCAAGAAAGAATCTGAGGTATGGCATACGGGATATATGAAATGAAAGGCTGGAAACAGAGCTGGAGATAAGCGCTAGCCAATGGTTAATACGGAAGAAAGTACCTTAGCAATTACCAGTAATGCCCCTATCGACCTCAGTCTTGTTTTTTGTTAACTTGAGTAACGAACACTATCTCATTAAAGGCCGAATATCCATATATATATTTATGGAAGAGAGTCGGCCCACTTTTAGCCGTTCTAGCAATTATGCTTGTTTTAGCCCTACTGTCCACCCTTATATAATGGAAAGGGGTACTTTTGAGAGCTGATGTGTAACAGATCAAAGCGACCGTTAGTCGGGCTGATCTGTGATTGGTCAAGTCGAGCGAGAGGACACATACCTCCTCCATATTCCTTAAATGGGCAAGACTCGAATACTGCATGCGAGAAGTATAAGAGTTTACAGTTCAATGAAAGAAGCAATAGGTGAAAGAAGGGAATGAGAAAGAATCAATAGATGAAAGAATAAATGGGTTTCGGTTTCGTAGCTTGACCTTCTATCCGGACGCTTGACTTACCTTGTTCAAGAGTGAAAGAAGGAAAATAATAAATAGGTTCAGTAGTGATTGAGCTCAATAGTGAGACCGACAGGTTCAGGATTGAATGAATAAGGTAAATAGGGTCAGGTCATAGAGGTTCCGGTTCAGGAGAGAAGCCGAGGTTCAAGAAAGAGCTATTTTTCTTTTCTTTTACCTCCTTCAATCCAAGTCAAAGCCTCAAAGTCAAAAGCAGGAATCTGAGAAAACAAGACCCCTACGTCTTTCTTGTAAACTAATTATTCGATCTGTAGATTCCAGAAAGGTTGCCACATCACTAAACCATCCAGGGATGTCTCTTGCAAAGAAGAATTCATAGAGACTTTTCCAGAACCCCAGTCCAGCCTACCCAACTAATATAATCTAGAATCCACTCTCTGTCTTTACTTAACTTAGTAGTAGGCGAATAATGACTCTATTTGTATGCGCATTCACAGGGCACGTTCTAAGATCTCCCGCAACGAGAACCTAAGACATGGTGGATTGATAGTAAGTTGAAAGAATAAATGGATCGATCATAGGTTGGTTGAATATTGAGTGTAGCTTAGGTTACATCTTTTGTTTACGCGCTACTAAGCTGGCACACAGGATCTTAGACGGGTTTCGTCCCCTTTCGGGAACACCTTCTTACTAGCTAGTATGGTAAAAGCCTGATGCAAATAGACCAAAAAAAGAAGAGTTCTTTATAGATAAGTTGTAGTCGATTCTCCCGTTATGGCTCCTCTCGCGCTTAGTCACTCACGGGATTCGGATAGGGGGAAGTCTTTTCTAAAACAACTCGCAGTTCTACCTCTAATATATATGATTGATTTTTGAGATACTAACTCTTTGGTTGGATCGGACAGGGAACTTCTATAAAGATCTTTCCACTCATTCATCATACTCAAAGTCGAAGTCACGGCCAACATGGGGGGCTCAAAAAAAGAACGAGAATCGGTGTCGTGGTGGTACTACGAGATGGCAATTTCTTGTAGTATAGAAGAATAGATCCGCAGACCTATTGATTGACCATAGATGCGACTACTATCTAAGAGAATCTCAGTAGTTCTTCTATCGTTCAAGGGCAAGGGGAAAAGATGTTAAATTGTTTGGTGCATTAGAAATCTGATTCACTTTTGTCAGTTCTTCCCAATTCCATTGCTCATTTTCAGCAAAATGAACATCTCGGCTCACAATAACTCGACTAGTGTGCAGTTGAAAAACTCTATAAGCTTTGGATATAGTGCTATACCCAACAAATATGCCAGCTTCTGCCTTTTGGTCAAGCTTATCACGCTTGACCTGTAGAATGTAAGTGAAGAAAAGACACCCAAATACTTTAAGAAACTTTAAAGAAGATTTGTAACCATACCAAGCTTCAAATGGTGTTAGGTCCTTCATAGCTTTTGTGGAAATTCGATTTTGCAAGTACACAGCAGTGTTTGCTGCTTCTCCCCAAAAACATTTTGGAAGATTCTTCTCATGAAGCATGCATCTCGTCATCTCCATTATGAATCTATTCCTCCTTTCACTGACGCCATTCTGTTGAGGAGTGTATGGTGCTGTCAACTGATGTTCAATTCCAGCCTCTTCACAAAACCTGTTAAAAGTTTCTGAAGTGTACTCCTTGCCATTATCTGATCTTACCGTCTGAATCAAGCATGTACTTTCATTCTCAACTCTAGCCTTGAATTTTCAAAATACATCCGCAACTTCTGACTTTTGCTTCATAAAGAAGATCCAACACATTCTTGTTAGATCATCAATAAAAATAATGTAATAAAGATTACCATTTAATGATGGTGTTCGCTGAGGACCACAAAGATCAGTATGAACCAGCTGCAGTTTTTTCGAGGCTCTCCATGCCTGTTTAGGAAAAGGTTGCCTATGTTGCTTCCCAAAATTACAAGCACGGCAAGGAGGCATGTCATCATTAATGTCAGCGAGTCCTTCTACCAGCTTCTTTGACTGCATCTGAAGCAAACCTCAATGATGAAAGTGCCCAAGTCTTTTGTGCCAAAACTCAGTGGCACTAGCTTTGGATATAAAGGCCATCTGCTCTTTCTCCATCGGATTTAGAGCAAACCTTTTTCCTTTCATTTTGACATTGAACAAGTCTTTGCCACTAACATCTTTGATCAAACACTGCTTATTTTCAAACAACACTTTATAGCCTTTATCAAGTAACTGACCAACACTTAAGAGATTTTGATCAATTTTAGGTACAAATAAAACATCTGGAATAAATTTTGTACCTTCATAACTTGTTATAGCTACTGTGCCTTTTCCTTTGACTTCCAAGTGTTCACCGTTGCCAATCCTCACTCTCTTGACTTTAGTGTCTCTTAATTCCTCAAAAAACTCCTTGTCATATGTCATATGATTTGTGCACCCACTGTCAATCAACCAGCTCTCACCTGATTCTTTGCCTGAGAAACAAGTGGCCACAAACAATTGATCTTCTTCTTCCTCTTCTTGATCAACTACCTGTGCATCTACTTCTTTCACTTGATCTTTGGCTTTACAGATCACAGCTTCATGTCCAAGTGGTTTGCATTTGGAGCAGAAGGCGTCAGGTCTTCTCCAACACTTGTATGGTGGATGACCTTTCTTCTCACAATGGCGGCAAGGTGGATAGGATTTTCTGAAACCTCCTCCTTTTGTCTTGTGATAATTTTCCGATGGATCTCCATACGTTGATTGGTTTTTGAAAATTTTCTTATTTTTATACCTGCTATTGTCTTGATCTCTTAACAGGTAAGGCATCTTCAATCACCCTTTCTTGCCTCATAAACCTCCTTTGCTCTTGTGCTTGTAAAACATTCAAGAGATCTGTAAGAGAAATCTTTGACAAGTCTTTGGTGTTCTCCAGAGTAATAATGGTGGCTTCAAACTTCTCTGGAACAGTGACTAGCAGCTTTTCAACGATCCTGGAATCATTTAATACAGAACCATCTCACCTTATTGGCAATGCTGAGAAGTCTGTCAGAGTACTCTTTCACCGATTTAGACTCCTTCATCCTCTGCAACTCAAAATCCCTAATCAAATTCAGGACTTTCATTCCACGAATCCTCTCATCTCCTTCATATTCGGCTTTGAGATAATCCCAGATTTCCTTTGCTGTTTTGAGGGACATTATTCGCATGAAGATCATTTGAGATACAACGGCAAATAGGCAAGCTTTCGCCTTTGATTTCCTTGTCTTCTTTTCCTTCTGTAATTTGATTTGTGCTACAGTAGGATTTTCTGGAAGCGAAGGGGCCTCGTAATCCTCTTCTATTGCTTCCCAAAGATCCAAGACCTCCAAATAAGTCTCCATACGAACTGCCCACATTTGATAATTGTCTCCATCGAAGATTGGTGG